TTTATCACATAGGTTTTCAAATTAATTGACCAAACATGATTGAAATTTCTTTGAATAAAAACAACTTGAAATCAATTTTAAATTTACCCAATCAAATTGGATGATTATTTGTTAAAAGGGGGGTTCCGCAGGAACAATCTTTCGACCAAAAAGTTGTTGGTTAAGCTGATCATGAATGATTTCATTTCAAAACGGAGAATCTGGATACAACTTGAACACCGGTATGATTTTTATGGCCTCATTTTAAAAGTTGTTCACTTGAATTGATTTTTAAAAATCAAGAATTAAATCATATCATTAAACAGGCAAAAGATCAAAATTTTTCCTTTTGTTAAAAAAAATTCAATTTCCAGTTGTCCTGAAATTTCCAATGTTTCGTCAGTTTTTTTGTCTGACCGAAGTAAAACCTAATCGGTCATCCCGAATCTTGAGAAAATTTTTTCAATGTGTTTCACTTGACATATCTTGATTTCATTTTCTGAATAATCAATTTTCATTCCTAAGAACCATTTAAGAGCACTTATCTTGCTTGTCTGAATTTTTTTTCAGATATATTTTTTTCAAACCAGCTTCTGAAGTCTTTGCTTGCTCCAAAAGCCACTATATCAACTACCCACAGTTTAATTAAACCTCCTTTACCCTCAGTGTTCTTAACAAATGAAACTTAAGGTTTTCCTTCTTCATCAAACTGTTCGAATCTTTCAGGTTGCTTCATGAAGTTATCATCATCTAGTTTTGCCTTCAAATGGTTAAAGCCTATAGCAACAAATCTAGCTTTAAGCCTAGAATCTTTGCCATCTTATCTTCATGCCTTCAACATGTTGTTCTACAAGATTCAAGTAGAAAAGTTTCAAATTGTTTTGAAGCCCTTCCAAATTAATTGAAATTACCAGCTTTCCACTAACTCCTTTGGTCAATTGTTTAAAGTTATACTGATTCTTCACCGCTCGAATTAATTGGTCTATCATTGTTTCATTGCTGTTTTTTTTTCAACGATGTAATTTAGAAGATTAGTTTTTGCAGTCTGGGTTTTGAAAAATCTAAACCCCTTCCGTAAAAGATCCCAAGCTTTGCTACCATTGCCTTTGTATGGTCTTAACAAGAAAAACGATTTCTTATCTAGAGCTCGAACTAGTTCGTACCAGATGCGCAACTACTGTTTTTCCTCGAAAATGTCTTTTCCTTCATCTGTTGCAGCTTATTTTTGATCTATGCTTGCTTTCGGTCGTTAAGCTTGGCATAAAAAAATTCAAGTTAAAATTTGCTGCCTCGAACTGCTCTTCAGAGTAGATAAAAAACTCCTCTTTTCTCGAAAATACAATTCTATCAGTTTTAGACATTTTTTTTCTAATGTAAATACTTATTTCCTACTGAAGTCCTACACAAGATTAAGTTCTTATGAAATATCAATAATGTCAAATTGTTACATGTATTTTATCAGTTTGTCAGTTTGTTTGTTTTTTCACTGTCAATTTCCGCGTTGTGCTTTTTTCTGCGCTGTGCTCACTTAGTGCCCCTTCGTGCTGCTTTTGACTCTTATTCTTCCAACTCTTAGTGGTTGTTGATTCCGCTCAAAGCCTAATTCTTCGCTTCTAGACGTGTTGCCTGCTTCTTTTAGTCCAATTTTTTGTGAATGATGATTCCCTTCAAAGCCTTGTCTTTGTTTCTAGTTGTGTTGCCCTGCTTCTGTCTTCTCTCAGTTCTCTATCTGATCAGTAGTCTTTGTCAAATTGTGTTTTTGCAACTCCATTGCAAATCTCAGTTTGTTCGTTTGAATAAACAGTCAATTTTGACTTCTGACTGGTATTTGGGCATCTGGTCCCATAACCTATCTAGGTTAATGCAGCGACAAACGGTTGACTACTAAGGAGTGAGTTAAAGGATTTGAGCAATAATTCCAATAGTAATTCAGCAATCAAATATATACGGTAAATCATCCGCACAAAGTTACTCGAACCAGTGACTAAAGGTCGTGTTTCACCAGCTAGCTTTAACAAAACTCGGGAAGTGATATTTCAGTTTGAGCAGAATAAGAAAGATCAATTCCAGTTCACCTAGAGAAGGTTAGCTATTACTGTTATTGTTTATTGAAATTCCTAATTTAATGTTTTGTGATTAAATTGTTTTTGGTGGTGAAAACCGAATCGGATGGTTTATTTATGAGCAAGTTTTTCCAGCTTTTGTAAAAAAAAAACAAGAGCTCTCTCTGTCTTTCCCTCTACTACAATCTGCTGACTACTAGACTTGCTCTTTTGCCGCTAATCCCAGAACTTTTCCTGATGCGAACGGGTAAAACGAATCAAACTCCATGCAGCAACTGAAATTGATATAATTATGATATTTAGGTCCCTAATTACAACCTGTTTGGCCATGTTGCTTTTCGGCAGTGAAATGGTATACTTTTTTCATCGAATTGCATGAGCAGAATAGCCAAGCGTTGTAAGGAGCGGTGTTGAGGTTGAACTATTTTGGATCCCACTCATGTCAGACTTTTCGTTAACTTAGTTCAAGTGTTGGATTTGTTCTATGGTAATTTTATTTGTTATTGAAAGTAATTTTTGGAAAGCAGATAAATTTTGCGAAAACCATGTTTTTATCATTGAAAATCGAGTTAGATAATTTAATAATTGGTTGGTAATTGCAATCTATTTTTTCAATTTTTTCACCTGTCCATCTTTTACATAATCCAGGCTCTTTTCGATTAAATCCCCCAAATTTTGATAAATCGAAATTATTTTTTTAAATCACAAAACTAGATTGATGCTGTCAAGTAAGGCAGCATAGGGATAGCTTTCTGTAATAAAGCTCGAAACTTCTTGTTTTATAAATCTAAAAAATGGATAGATTTTTGACTTTTATATAAATAAAGAATCATAATAACCGAGTCTGAATGGTTAAAACTGAATCCAGAAAAATTAAGTCTGGATTTGCATTATAAACTAAAATATTTCTTACAAAGTTTGACTGATTTTCCTTAAAATAGCAGGGCTGGTATCCTGAGCGTTAAATAAGATAGAAACTGGCCATTATTTTGAACTTAACGGCAATCAAAAATGCATTAAGCATCCTTTGATGAAATTCATGCTCAGATAATTGGCGAAAAGTGCAGAAAAAAGTCAGTTTGAGGCTCAATTAAGTAAAAATGGTTCGTTTTTACCAGTCCCAATATAATATAGTGCATTTCCTTGTAACAGTGTCCCAATTATATAAAATTATATTTCATTTTTTCTTATGTTAAGGAATTGAACTGTATCAAAGTTTCGTCGTTTGGTTAGGGGCAGTACAACAGTGCCGAAAAATTGAACAAATTTCAACCTAAGTGCGGCAATCAAAAATGAAACGGCGATCGCTTATAATCTTAAGTGACATTTGCAACTTGTTTTGTTGTTTAGTTTGCAGTTTTAGACATTTTTGCCGTCAAAATCGGAGTGATTTTGTTTGTTAATTAGCGTCAGTAATTTCCCGCTCAGAAAATTATTCTGATTTTTTAGCACCTTTTTCGGCACTGTTGTAATTCGGCACTGTTGAACGCCGCCTCCGTTTGTTAGTTTCCTAAGAAAATATAATTTTTTGTGAACTGGTTCAAGCAATGGAATTAAGCTGAAACATTGGAAATAGCTTTTGCTGGACAACTTTGCTTTGAAGGCTTCTAGTTTTGCGAATTGTGTATCAATACAATTTAACTTGAAATTAATTTTATCATTTGAGGAGCTGGGTTGATGTGAATTCATTAGGCGGCTAAACTGCTTTTTGGGAAATCTAAGCTGTTTCCGCATCAAGGACGCTCCTTTTGTTTTTTCAATTTCTTTGATGGTTCCGACAAATTTTCAACATGATTAAAGGCTTGTCTCTGGAATCCAGGAACATATAGACACAAAATTGTGCGCCTATCCAGTTCACAGTTTGGCCTCGCAATGTTAAGTTTTTCCTAATCGGTTTACGCTAAAAAATGTAATATTTTCCGGTTCCGATGCTTGGTTTTGCTTGAAGCAACTTATTTTTTGAAATAACTTGGATCAACCGTACAATCCCCTCAATCAATTTAGAGGGGTGGCGTGTTGGTGGAGAGAAAAATATGGATGTTTCAATCTAAACTGGAGTATAGCCTAGAGTTGTTCAAAAACAGTCGTATTACCAAAGAAAACTGATTTAGAACATTGATTAGTGTAATTAACAGCATAGAAATGCAATCCAGCAAGAATGTAAAAATTAATTTTTATGCGTGCGTTTGGCTGAAATGCAAACTTTATACAGAATTGTTATTCAGATTTAAGACATGCATGAGGAGGGCATTCTACAGTTGATCACTTAGGGTGGTTGTACGGTTCATCTAATAACTTCAAAGTGTTCAAAGTTCTAGCAATTGAAGGGCTTCATTAGAGAATCTTAAAAATAGCCCGAACCCATTCACACTACTTTCTCTTAAAAACTTTATATTCTCGATTCACTTAATTGACTGAAATACTACGCGCGATATGCTTGCTTGTGTATGTTTGGCAAAGCGAAATGTAATTCCTTGGTAAACTTGCCTTGTAAAACTTTGTATGGATTCCCGCTATATTGAAAAACTAGACGCTTTTCAAAGCTCTATCGCTTGATGAGATTGCCTAGAGCAATGTGGTTTTTTTGCAAAGCTTCGCGCTATCAATCAGTATCAAAAAACTGAAAGTCTTTCCAAGTTTCGTTGCTGGAATAGCTTCCAAAAAAGCTCAGTTTTTGCGAACCGATTCAAACTTTGAACGCAAATTAAAATAAATGCTTTAATTTGTAATTACTTACGGCTCAACTTTCTTGAAATTCTTTATCCACTCTCTTTTAGATGGTGATTGATAGAAGAAGTTTGACGAATGATTTTCAAAAACACTTCAAAATGTTTCGGATCTTTTTGGTTCCAAACTATCTCAGCTGTAATGTATGATAATTGAATCATCGCTGGTTCAAATCTCAAAATTGAAAAAAAGCTGTTAAGGTTTTTCTAATTTTTACCGCGTTTGTTTAAGTCACTTCGGCTACTGGCACAAAGAAGAGGCATGTCGCTAAATGAACACCATCTGAAGAGGAATGTGGTTAGGAGGAAGGGCGAGAAAAAGACAGCCGGCGAAATAATTCCAGTCAGTTCCGAACAGGAGTTGTTCCAGGTGATGGGGGTGCCCTTTCGACCTCCGGAGGAACGCGACTGGTGAAAAAAAGTTTAACTATGACTATACGACAGACTGCTTGCAAGTGTGTTGACTGAGTTCCCAGGATGAAACAGGATGAAAATTGGGTTGCTTTATCCGCAAACAGTGCAAAATGCTCTTGACAAAATTGCTCGCTTTCGAGGAAGAATTTTTTGACGAATACACCTGATTTAGGGACCAACTACCATACTATCAAGAACTGAACAAAACATATCAATTGAACTCAGAGGCGGCTTTGGGATGGGGGTTAGAAAGGGAGAAGGAGGTTTGAACTGTGCAACCAATCTGCAGTTTTACAATGAGATCAGACAATAAATGAAAAGCTGATCCAGCTTATTAATTGCATCTTCTGACAATCGAATATGTTCATGTTTATGAAGTTATCGGTTTCTCTTAAAAAGTGGATATGTCAACCACTTATATTACTGTTTCAAATATGTGCATCGGACTCCTACGATCAGATTTCATCGTGAAATTAGAGGGTTCTCACAGATTTCACCGTGAAAGTGAAGGTTCTCAATTGAAAGTAGAGGGTTCTCACATACATTTTAAAACATTTTATCATTGAGCTAAAAGTATGTTTCGTCAAATGTCTCCCCATCTATAAATTTTCAAAGCCGCCGTTGTTCTGATTCATTTCGAGATTAATCTTTAAACCTTGTAAAAAAAATTTTAAAGCCGTAAATTTATTTCTTTGTAATTTACAGAGGGCTGTCTTTTTAAAGTTTGTGGATCATGATAGCTGTAGTAATTATAAGATTTCTTAAATAACCCTACGTTTTGAACACGAAAATATTGTTCCGACCATTCTCGAAAGAGTGGGGAGGAACTGGCATAGAATCGGTTTTTAATTGTCATTTCAAGCACGTCGAAGAAATTTTATGGGTTTAATATTAAATGGTATAATATTAACGTCCTTTCAAACATGCTTTGGATTTCAAAATAATATTTATATTTTGAAACTATAAGATATTGTCATTCAGTACTTCAAAGTCCTTAAGTTTTAAGAGTTGAAATGAAGCTGGTCTCGTTTTCTAATTCAAACTACCACACTGTTGATACGTTGAGAAGAGTAGGTGCTTCATTTTGATATTTTTTCTTGTTTTTTATTGAAAACAATGGTAGCTGATTTGTGAAATTGAATGTCTGTTCCCTCTTGTTGCACTAAAACTGTCGAAATTCTGTAAAACTTTGCAAAAAGGGGTTCTAAAACAGTTTGCCTCGTTCATATTTATAATCATCATTCGTGTTTCTTTTTTGTGCCGAAGTTTATTGGCTGATCTTTTATTAACGTTTTTAGCAATAATTACTGTAGTCGAGCATTCTGGGTTACGTGCACAACAACGGTTCACCCCTGTTCTGCATTAGATATTTCTTTTGTTTTAACGAATAGCATGTCGTGAGTCTAGCTACCAATAAATCAACTCGTGGACCAGTGAAAAATAAAAAACTCACTTAGCTAAAAAAAAAGTTTGTTTTGCAAATTTTCATTCATCTTTTACTGATTTACCTTTGCATACAGCCAGTGGCGTGCGCAGAAAGAAAAAAATGAAAGTTCTGTCGACCTTTTTTTAGGTCGACCAAACTTTGACCGAGCTCCGAAAATACACTGAGGACAGTAGTAGATGTTGGAGCTGAAGTGGGGGGGAGCATGGCAGACCCTATGTATTAAGATACGCTATAGACTTCGGGTCTGCCATGCTATGTATTAAGATTGGGTATAAAGTCTACAATGTATTAAGATAGGGAATACCGATGGTAAGATTTTATGGTTTGTGTGATGGTAAGATAATGGTAAGAAAATCGTAATTTTTTTAGTTTTTGTGTGGAAATGTCTAGTTTTTTCGCAAAAATGTTGGCGCGTGTTAACTAATTTGTGAATATCGAAAGTTAATTTTGTGTAGGTTGTGTAATGAAGGACTTTTAATTAGATTTTTGATACATGGTAAGTCAATGGTAAGAGTTTTTGGGTAAATTTTTATGAAAAAATTTTCAAAATACTTCAAAAAACGATAAGGTTAGCTATTATTTGACCTAATTTATTAACTAATCTTACTTTCTATCTAATTGAAACGATCATTTTACTTTCTATCTAATTGAAACAATGCTGAAACCTACAGAGACTTCGAAAAAAGTCAAGTTTTTTGAGAAAAAAAGTTTAAATTACAAAGAAAGTATATAAATCACTGCATCGTATAGTAAACTTACTGCCATAATTTACACTTACAAATGAAAAAACTACAAATTTACATAAAATTACTTATAAAATTCAAAACATGCACATCATGAATATTATTCAAGTTTGTCTGTTAGAATTTAAAAAGAAGAAATGCTGAATAAATTGCGTAAAATCCACACAAATTATCAGTTTTTTGTAGCTTTCGAGGAACCATTCGCCGATACTTTTTTGTTAGAAAGGAATAAGTTGTTCTTTTCGACCCAAAGAATCAGCAAAATAGTAAGTTTTATCCAATCGAGCCATCATGATCCAGTGCTCCCCTCTATCATTGCTTGGAGCTGAGTTAACAATTGCAAAAGAGTATTTTGTTAGTTGAGGTACTTTATCAGAGGGGTAAGATCCCATGTACTTGAACCTGAGTTCAGGAATTCTTTCAATAATTTGCAGAAGTGAAAAATTATCCAATTTCGCAAATGTTAGCTGATTTACATCTAAAACAAAGAAATAGAAAGTATGATATTGTAATTTAGGATGGAAAATCCTAAAGTTATTGACTTACTCGCATTTAGGTACTGAATCAACAAAGTCCCATACACAAAACTTGTGAACTGGACAAAATTTGTTGAACACTGATTTACAGTCTAGGTTGAAGAAATGTCTTGGGTTTTCAATTAAACAGCATTCATAAGCTGCTTTTTCTGGAGATTTAGGTCTGAAGAAAAACAAAATATATAGTACAGAGACATTCACAATGAAAAGTCCCAAAAAAGCTACAATATTTTTATAGGAACCTGAAAGTTCAAAAAAACTAAACATTTTTAGCGACTGTTCTGAATTTGTGAATTTGAACATTTGATAGTCTTTCTCCCAAGACTATCACTTCCGTTACTTGCTCCAAGGGAAACTGAAAAAAAACATTTCTAATCTCAAGCTTTCTCCACTAAGTTCTGGATAATGCAAGTGTTCAGCGGCATCCTGTAGTGAAGTCAAGTCGAAAACTAGAATATAGTGATTTTGAAAATCTTCCATAGGAAGAGCTGGAAAATCTTCGTTAAACTGCATTGCTTTCATTGTTGTAACATAGGGTCGACAAGGAGAAGTTGTATCTAATGAAATAATTGCTCTTCCACCCCGAATATTTCTAAGCTCTCTCAATTGAAATTGTTGATAATTGAAAGGATTTTCATGAAAAGATCCCGCAACAGCCGAATTTGTATTCATTGCAACAGCTATCCTTCTGATTGGGGCATTATTGAAAACATTTTCCTGAATAAACTGGTTTTGACGAGATGGAATGATAAAGGTTCTTGCTATAGTTTCCATGTAATTGTATTGAGCAGGTTCTCTTTCCAGATTCCATTGCAAGTATTGATGATTAGGTTCAGCAACTAAAATTCTTCTAGTAAACAACGAACAATCAACTATTTTCAGACTGACATTTGGATTATCAGATAACATGTAAAAATTAGGTCTAGCTCGAATAAGTTTAATTCGAACTTTGGTGTTTGGTAGCAACAGTTTTTCGCAAGTAAACAAATCAATGGCGAGCCTCCCATAGAGTGAAAAAGTTATCACTGTTCCCAAGGAATTTGCTCTCAGTGAATGGATACATATCAAATGCATCAGGATTTTCTTCAAAACTGTATCCATGACAAGCAAGAATTCCTTTATGACTCACTGCTGACGAGTTGAATTCGTTCGATATCTGTGCCTTATGAGGATATAATCCATTGGCATTGCAAACCATTGTATTGTTAAAATATATTTCACAGTTGGAGAATAGAGAATGTAGTAGATTGTTTACATAAGTTAAGTAAGTTTGTGGTTCCTCATCTGAATCTTCCTCCGATTTTGCTTTATGTTCTGCTTTTTCTTTTTTGAAAGCATCAAACAATCTTCCTTTAAATAGTTGAAGCTTTAAGCTAAGATGGGTATCACGCATATCCAAGTAGAGGTTACGATCCGTTTCAAATTCAAACTCAATACTGCTTTCATCCAGAGAAGTACTGGGGAATACTTCTTGTGTGTAAGATGACATAATTGTTTCCAAAACTGGGACTTTATCAAAAATCTCCAATGAAGAATTTGTAAAAGCCCCGTACCGAAAATGGCTTTGGTTTACACTCATTTTATATTGTCAAAAATGTCTTTGCGAGAGCGACTGTTTTTCGATCTGCTTTTTCGAGAAATGGATCTGGTTCTAGCTGTTTTACGCTTAGATTTCTTTTTTCCACCTCCCAATTGTTTCCGAACTGTTTTTGTTCCCACATCTTTTGCAAATGTTTTGAGTTTCTTACGTCCACTAACAACTTCCCCAATCTCTGGAGCAGCGATTTCAAACAAATCTGCCCCAATTCTTTTTGCGGCTGGGACTATATATTTTTTAATAAAGGGGATTGCAGTTCTCCAAAGAGTTTGTGCAAGAGCTCCAAAACCTCTTCCACGCTGTCTTGCATGTCCTCGAAAAATAGGGAAATCAGCTGATTTTTGAGCAACCATTTCGTATGAAGTTTAAATCAAAAATGATTATTCGAAATCTTGCGGAACAAGAGAACAACTCGAGTGATTCCTACGGAGACAAAAGGAATTTTTTCGCCTGTACTATCCCTTAGTTCTATCTTGATACTATGGAAAGAATTTTTCAACAGCTTTGTAAACTGTAAATTTGTAAAGGATTGATAATTCATTTACTGTCCTGTAGAAAATATATCTCCACTCTTCACTTTGGAGATAAATGGAATACAACGCAATAAGGGAGTTTTTGTATCACTAACTATGTTATATTCTATAATATCACTGTATATCATTAGGGAATGTATTCTTATAATGTCGTAACAATACTGAGGATAATGTGGATCTTTTCCTTCATTATAACCCCTGTTTGATTTTGTTCTAAATCACAACCAAGAATGTGGCTCAAATCAGCACTCTGAATTATAAACACTGATTGACTCTCATGTAAATGAACAGCAACTGTTTGTGTAATTTTATCTACTGATACATAGATTCCGTTATATTCAAAAACTTGAGCTCCTAGACGTTCTCGAATTTTGTTGTTCATGACTACAACTATATCAACAATAATTGGATACAATCCTGGTTCAATGTTCATCGGTACAATCTTTCTTTTCTCCTCAGAACTTTCTCTTCCATCTACGAATGTAAAATTTCCCTCTGTAACAATTTGGTACAAAGAAGGGTATGATATTTCTGAAATAGCAACCTCCCATTCTCCTTTCAAATGTATTTGTTCAGGTAGAAAATTTGTAAAAGAACTAAGACTATTATTCGGATAACAATTAAAAGAAGCGTTGGAAACCAACTCAGTAGTGAAAGAATCCATGACAACTGATCGGTAAAAATTTAGTTTAAAAATGATTTACCTTTAATCAGAACATTTTCTAAGCTCTTTTTCATAAAATTTTCCAAGAATTTCCTCTTTGTCCAGATCTTTGATGATGTATGTTGGAGGCTTTTTTGTAGAGACTGCCGA